TGTGTGAGAATATGGGAAGCCATATCTTAAACTACGGGCGCCGTATCCCTCTGGAGGAGTGGGATTCCAGGATTTCGGTAGGTATTCATTTGTTTTTCTGGGAACACCTACTTGGTGCCGGCACTTTCTGGCCTGTCTGCTGCAGTGACACAGGGTTTGCTTATTCCTTAGTCCAGATGCCTGGAGTCCAGGCAGGCAGCCTGCTCCTTCTGGTACACGTTTGCCCAAGTGTGTGACAGACTCTCTGTATCCTGTGTCCCTGTAGTTGGGTCCATCCCAGAAAGAGGAAATGTGACTGTGTTAAGCCGCACAACTTGAAATCCTGTGTTGTTTTCCACAGAGGTGACCACTGTCTGGTTTGTGTAACTCTACAGCCACCGTATCCCCTGTAAGACTGCCGTTTTGAGACATGTCTTCTTGGAAAAATGCCTGATGTGGAACATTCCCTGTCCTTGTGGCACATAAGAGCTAGATAGTTGGTTCAGGTGGCCCCAAAGGATCTGACTGTGTTTTTAATGGTCTTGATAAATGATGTCAATAGTTACTTGCAGATGTGAGAGCTGCATGCCTGCTAGAAGGGTTTCTGACTGCCTTTTTTGATGCTTATTAGGCTGTTGACGCAAGAATGGTGCGGGAGGTCTGCAGCAAATACATCTATGACAGGTGCCCAGCAGTTGCAGCGGTGGGTAAGTGACCAGTAGTGCATGGGAGCCCAAAAGAGAAGCCCGGGAGGCCTTGGGGAACATGCAGGCACCTTCCACATGTTTGTTCTGTCCTCTGCACCGCTCGGGTGCCGCTGCCTCCCTGCCCCTGCGTGGTGGATGTGCCAGGGCACGTCCGCCGGGAAGCGGTGCCCGTGCAGGATGCGGGCACAGGGGCAGGAGCTGCTGGCCCTCCTCCCACCCCTGCGTGGCTCTGACTAACCGTGGGAGTCCCGGAGCTGGGTGGGGGCCCGGTGCCACCTGCCAAGTGTCCTTACCCCGGGGTCATGGTGCTTTATGTAAGGGAAGGGGCCTGGTTCTCTCGTGCTGCTCTGACACGTCTGTCTGGCCAAGGACAAACTCATCCCGCAAAGCCTGCCCGAACAGCGAGCTCCGCTCCGCAGCCTCCTTCCTGCGGGTGGAGGATTCCCCTCCTTGCAGCTGTTTCCTCTGGCTCTGCAAAGCAGAGCAGGCTGGAAAAGGGCGAGGGATTTCAAACAGGAAGTTGCAAGGAGCTTATCAAAACCTCTGCTTTTGTTGCTGACTATAGTCATACCTGAATATGAAAATGTGTTCGGCATTGTGGCACACCAGGATAAGGCAGATTATTCTGAGAAAATCAATAATGGTGTCTCTGTCAGGACATGGTTTCTGCCAACCTTTCTCATGCAGGTTTGAGCTGTAGTTGCTGGAGTTTGTGTAGCTGTTCTGGGTTCTGACCATGGTTGGCTTTGCCCCCATTTGCTCCAAGGATACGGGAACTTGCACATGGATTTTAACCACCTCTGCAGTGACTAACTCCGTTTTGCTTACTCAGGTCCCATTGAGCAGCTTTTGGATTACAACCGTATCCGCAGTGCCATGTACTGGGTCCGCTTCTAGGATGTGTCCCTGCAGGATGGAAACAGTGAAGCTGTGGACTCTGATGGGGCCCCTGAGGTTCTGTCTGGCTTTGACTGTCTTGTGTGCCAGGAACAAGCTCAGGCCTGTCAAAGTGACTGTCATCTTGATGTTAAATGTGTAATATTGAAAATAAATATATCCTAAATGGAGTTGACTCTGCTGGGAGTTCCTCTGTCTTCCTGGACTATGTGTGTAGACTGGATTAGCCTTTCCCAGCCAGTGCTGGGCCACTAAGTCCTGATTTGTCTGGGGTCACTCTGGAAAACCTGGTGCCTGTAGCCTGTCCCTCCTCTGTCCTTACCTGGCGCGCTCCTGCTATGCCAGGGAATTTGCAGGTCTTGTCTTCCGACTGGGGCAACCAAGTCTTTCCCTGGCATGAAGCAGCCGGAGCAGCCCCGTTATTTCTTTATACACCTCTGTGGAGCGGCCGCGTGGGGAAACTCGAATTGCAGCGTTGCCTTCGCAGGGCCCCCGAGCGCCTTCACGTGAGGGGAGCCGTCCCCGGCGCTCGCCCAGGAGAGCAGAGCCTCTCTGGAAAGCTGCTCCGCTCCCTGGGGCGGTGACGTTTCCTGCCTCGCTGTTCGTTACCCCCTTCTTGTTGGAGTGGCTGCTGCTTTTGCAAACGGTCACTCATTTTCAGGCATAACGGGTGAGCTGATGTAATTGATTTAAACTCCTGAGGGTGGCCAGGCTGGCCTTGCCCAGCGCGTCGGGAGCGTTGTGGATATTTGCCACAGGGTTGAGGCAGATCCTTAGTGGGCTGGGGTGCCTCTGATCACTCGGCTTCTTGGTGAGATAGGAGCCCGCTCAGCAATGAGCCAAAGGGAGTTTGAGTGTGGGTTTCCAAACGAACCACGTTCTGATGAGCCCTCGTGCCATGGCTGAGAACCGCTGGCCGCAGTGAGAGCGGCCAGCTCTTCGTGTGGAAGGTGATCCCTAAGGTTGAACGGGTGGAAGAGCCACCTGGGGTCCTGGTGCCCATCCTTGGCTCTTGCTCCCTGTCTCGCCTCCAGAAAGCCACAATACGGAGCAGCAAGTGGACAGCGTTGAGATGCACGAGTGGAGAAGAGCTTCCCTCCAGGTGGCACCAGCCCATCGCGGCTCTGCTCCGGAGCAACGCGGTACTGCTGCAAAATCGTCTCTTTGGGATAGCTCTCCTTGGGATTCTCACTTAATTTTCAGGTGCTGCCCTGACAAGTTGGATTTAAAAATAGTATGAAAGTTTCCAAGAGTTAGTCATTATATTTGAGACTAATCCCATGTACTAAATCATTTGCACCGAATCCGGATTCTTGATGAGAGAGTCAGGGTGTCTGAACTCATCGCGTATACTAGGCAAGTTCGAAGCTGTTAAGTGTTCTTGATGCAATTTGAATTTAACTATTGTTGCAAGCTCTGGCTCGTTACAAGCGCACTAAGGGCTGAAAAACTAAACAAGCTTACTTATGCCTTGCGGAATCAGTAAATGATTCCGCCTTGGCTTTATGACTGCAATTAGACCTTAATCTTTTGTTGTCTTCCATTACTCTCTCTTTTTCTGAGTGAGCTTCCAAGGGATCCCATCCCCATCCCCATTCCCATTCCCATCCCCATCCCCATCCCCATTCCTGTTCCCATTCCCATTCCCATAGGATGCGAGGTGTTCTCGGACGCCGGGAATCACGCCTCCATGATCCAGGGCATCCGGGACAGCCGGGCGCCCACCCACGTGTTCCGGCACAACGACCCGGAGCACCTGGCGGAGCTGCTGGCGCGGAGCCCCCCGGGACGGCCCCGGATCGTGGCCTTCGAGTCCGTGCACTCCATGGACGGTGAGGGGCCAAACGGGGCCAAGGAGGGCAAAAACGGCCTCGGGGAGGGCAAAAATGGAATCGGGGGCCAAAAATACCCCCTGGGGAGGCCAAAAATGGCCTTAGGAGGCCAAAAATGGGCTCGGGGACCCTAAAATAGCCCTGGGGAGGCCAAAAACGGAACGCGGAGGCCAAAAATACCCCTAGGGGAGGCCCAAAAATGGCCTGGAGAGGCCCAAAAATGGAACCAGGGAGGCCCAAAAATGGAACCAGGGAGGCCCAAAAATGGAACCAGGGAGGCCCAAAAATGGAACCAGGGAGGCCCAAAAACGGACCTGGGAGGCGAAAAACAGCCTCAGGAGGCCAAAAATGGACCCAGGGATCCTGAAATACCCCCCGGGGCGGCCCCGGATCGTGGCCTTCGAGTCCGTGCACTCCATGGACGGTGAGGGGGCAAAAACGGGGCCAAACGGGGCCAAAAATGGGGTCGGGGAGGGCAAAAATGGAATCGGGGGCCAAAAATACCCCTAGGGGAGGCCCAAAAATGGCCTGGAGAGGCCCAAAAATGGAACCAGGGAGGCCAAAAATGGCCCCAGGGACCCTAAAATACCCCCTGGGGAGGCCAAAAATGGAACCAGGGAGGTCCAAAAATGGAACCAGGGAGGCCAAAAATGGACCCAGGGACCCTAAAATACCCCCTGGGGAGGCCAAAAATGGAACCAGGGAGGTCCAAAAATGGAACCAGGGAGGCCAAAAATGGACCCAGGGACCCTAAAATACCCCCTGGGGAGGCCAAAAATGGAACCAGGGAGGTCCAAAAATGGAACCAGGGAGGCCAAAAATGGACCCAGGGACCCTAAAATACCCCCTGGGGAGGCCAAAAATGACATTGGGAGGCCCAAAAATGGATCCGGGGAGGCCGAAAATGGCCCCAGGGACCCTATACATCCCCATATGTCCCTATATGTCCCTATAAATCCCTATACATCCCTATATGTCTCTATACTTCCCTATATGTCCCCATACGTCCCTATACATGCCTATACGTCCCTATGTGTCTCTATATGCCGCTATATGTCCCTATACATCCCTATATGTCCCTGTATGTCCCTATATGTCCCCATATGTCCCTATACGTCCCCATACATCCCTATATGTCCCCATACGTCCCTATATGTCCCCATATGTTCCTATACGTCCCTATATGTCCCCATACGTCCCTGTGTGTCCCTATACATCCCTATATGTCCCCATCTGTCCCCATCTGTCCCTATACATCCCTATACGTCCCCCTACATCCCTATATGTCTCTATATGTCCCTATATGTCCACATCTGTCCCTATCCGTCCCTATCTGTCGCCATACATCCCTATACATCCCCATACATCCCTAAATGTCCCCATACGTCTCTATATGTCCCCATATGTCCTTATATGTCCCCATATGTTCTTATACGTCCCTATGTGTCCCCATACGTCCGCATATGTTTCTATACGTCCCTATACATCCCTATATGTCCCCATCTGTCCTCATACATTCCTATACGTCCCTATGTGTCTCTATACGTCCCCATACATCCCTATACGTCCCCATAGGTCCCTATAGGTCCCTATACATCCCTATAGGTCCCCATCTGTCTCCACACGTCCCTATACACCCCTATAGGTCCCTATACGTCCCCATACGTCCCCATAGGTCCCTATACATCCCTATAGGTCCCCATCTGTCTCCATACGTCCCCATACGTCCCTATACGTCCCCCTCCGTCCCTATATGTCCCTATAGGTCCCT